TTTTTTTTTTTAATTTAAATTTGTTACTAATTTCAGTAAAAATTTACAGAGGCTTTGGATTTCCATTCATTCTTTGTTGCACATTTGTCCCCTCCCAAGGCTCCCCCCAGAACACTACCCTCTTGAAAAGTAAAAGAAAAAGTCTTTCATTGTTTTACAAACCCTCCCCCAGGTCCACTCCACCATGCAGCCATCGCTCTAAACTTCTGTCATGACTGAAATACCTAATCACATACCTCTTCCAAACAGTTCTCTCCCTCCTCTGTTTCAGTGCAGTATACATTATTGGACCCATCTTACTCAGTCTCTCCCCAACCCCAAGGACAGTCCCATTCTACAACAGTGGCACCATGCAATAGTTGTCCTTTTGTGACTGTGATATTTCACTCAGCATAACGTCCTCCAGGATCACCCATTTTGAATAATATTGTATGAGTTCCTTGTATTTCAATGCAGCATAGTATTCCATTGTGTGAATATACCACAGGTTCGCTATCCATTCGTTTGTTGATGGGCACTTAGGTTGTTTCCAACTCCTTGCTATTGTGAACAAAGCTGCAGTAAATATGCGTGTGCTTAGATGTCCATTCTCACATTTCTTACTGAGATAGTTTGTAATAAATAACTATTAGTTCCTTTCGGTGATCAGAGTAGACGGAAAAGAAAATATCCTGTCATTTCAGTGAAATTAACTTTCTATTAAGATCAAGATTGCCGTAAATGCCACTGTCATTCTAGGAATTGCTCTGTTGTGTCTCCCATTACTAGTTTTTATTCCCCGTCTTGCCATGTTCTTCCTAGAGGTGAGTGCCGAGGGAGATTTACTACAATTCTGAAGTTTGGCTGACTGATTCCTTGATTCTATTTCAGGGATTATTCAGTGTTTAATCTTTTTTTCTATACTGACATACATGTAGATAGTTTTCAGTAAAAAGGCTTTGCCTTCCTGATATTGCATAACTTGGAATATGCTATATGTCCTGATAACACTAGCTAGCAGAAGGCTGAATGAATGTGGTATAAAGTGTAGAAATGAACCCTCTTTTGAAGGTTACCATCATTTTATTTCTTTTCATTATAACTTCTTTTGAGTGAAATTTTACAAATCATAATTGGTTTCTCAATTATCCATTGACTTTTTCTTTTCTAATATGAATTACAATTGATTAATTAATTGCAATGTCCGGTCAAACCCTTCTACCAATTTGATAATTGTCTGTTATCTCTGAATTTTTATTCCTTTCTCTGTCCCTTTCCATCCCTGGTAACCATGTAAAATAACCTCTTCTTAAAATTCAGAGTCTTTTTTTCCTCGACTTGAGAATATTAATTGAACGTCACGTATAATATTTGAAGTATAGAAATCAGAAGCCAATTACTGTCATACACATCTATACAGTGATTTGTAGGCAAGCTAAACGTGATGGACCTAGGTGTCTGCAGTGTTGGGTATATTTTTGCAACCTTCTTTCCTAGACGCCAACCCCAGAGCCAGACACCTCTTTGCTACTAGTCTTCCTGGATCGTTCTTCCCCTTGTCCCACCAGCCCTAACTTCATTGCCTTGAGGATTTTTGCTTCTCTGAGCTCTTCCTCCCATTTCCCCGCAGCTGGCCACCTTGCTGTGGATTCTCGTCCTGGCTCAGAAACAAAATCTGGAGGCTATCTAATGGTTCTGGGTCTTTTTTTCCTAGGAAATTTATGTACACTTTTTCCTCACTGTTTTCTGGATGCTTTGTAGACTCTATGTACAGGATGAGTCTACTGATGGACATTTTACTCTGTAACTTTGAACAGTGCCTTTTAGGTCCAGGCCAGTCATGTGTAATAACAAGTTGATTAGTGAATGAAGGACAGTGAGTCCACACTATTCTGGAGGAGGGAGTGGTCCTAGTAACATCTAGTTTTGCTGAAGAGCTTTCGATTGTTCCAATTAATCCCTTTATTTGAGAGACACTTCTTTAAGCCCAAGGGTAACTTCTTTGTCTAAATTTAAACTGTGCCTTTGATTCCAGAAGTAAAAGTGGATCTAGAAGGTATTCCAGATGCAGGAAAACTTTTAAGGGGGTGGAGAAAATGAAGGGAGATCATTTAGCATGAAGACATATGCAGCAAATGTTTCCCCCATTCTGTTTTGGAGCTCATTATGCTGTTTTATGTACTCTTTTTGAGTAACCTTACTTGTCTAAGTAGGACAGATGGGTTTCCCATTCACACTGATTACTGTGGAATGATTCCTAACAGAGGTTTCATATGTCCCTAGGGTCCTGGCAACTTCAAGAGACACGTTCTATAGGGCTGTGTCAAGGGCTGTGGTCATGAGGTTTGAATGACTCACTGGGGTTGTTCCTCTGAATCGTTTGGAATTTCACTGCCAGTGAAGCTCTGACTCTCTACAGGGGCCCTTTGAACAAAGCCGTTTGATTTCATAATCCAGAGAACATTTAGGGTCAGGTCAGGTGAAAACAAGCCAAGATTGGATATGGCTCACACATGCAATAAAGTGAGAGCTCTTCTTTTCCACAAACTCTTTGTTCCTGAGGTGTAGAGGCCTCCTTCAGTCCTCCTCTCCTGCCCCCTTTACAGTTGCTGGGAGGGTAGTGAGTGACAATGGCAGGAAGGTGGGAGCTGTTCTCAGGAGGCTTGTCCCCTCTGCTGTAACTGCTGCTTGAAGGCTTGTTGAAGTGAAGAAAAAGAAAGAGGAAGTATTTGGCTTCCATAAATAATACCTTTTAACAGTTGTCTTTTTTTTGTAGGGAGAAAATATGACAAAAATGGAAACCTGGATCCTTGGTGGTCTGTTGACTCAGAAGAAAAATTTAAGGAAAAAACGAAGTGCATGGTTAACCAGTATAGCAGCTACTATTGGAAGAAAGCTGGCTTGAATGTGAGTACAAGCATGTTCAGGGAACATTGTGTGTAGTTTTTCCCCCCACAAAATGAATATTATCTTGCATTAGACCAGCAATTCTCCAAGGGAACTTGTTAGAAATGCAGATTCTTGGATCACACCACAGACCTATTGAGTCAGAAACAGCTGTGACCTCCCATTGGATCTGTTGCAAGCTAAGGTTTGAGATTCTCAAGTTTGATCCTCAATTTGTTGTCTAGATCCAGACTAAGTCTCAATTCTGTAACACAGATGAACAATAAAATTCTTAGAGATCTCCTATCTTAACAAAATATTTCCTTCCAAACTATTGTTGTATTCTTCATTTCTTTTGAGTTGGCCTCACAGTGATCTTATGTACAAGCTAGAACCTGTATAAGGTAGAAACCTTTTAAAGAAGAAAATCTCTGATATTTTCCACTAAAACCAGTGATAGAGGGAAGGGTGGTAAGACTGCATCTGTCAACAGCAGAAATAAGTTGAGACCTGGACAGATAAAGCAGTCTCATCAGTTCTGACTCGCACGGATTTCACTGTGTCACAGCAACACATTGCCCAGCATTGTTCCCTCTTGGCACCCTTTGATATGCCTCAGTGCAGTTTTGCAACTGTCACATTATCTATCATCCATATTATGTATACTTCCTCCCTAAGTAGGCTACTCTTCCATTGGATCATTTATATAAAATATTTTTAATTAAGTATTGAATAACAAGTTGGAGCTGCAATCCTGGCAATGCAGATTTTTAACACAGATCACAGAAAGCATGCATAAAAAAGATCAGGTGCATAGACAAAGTAATGCTATAAATGAGGCTAAATAGCTGCTGATTTCAAGAAAAGAAAATGACCTGAACTCACTATACAAAATACAGAACATTTTTAAAATAAATTTGACATTTTCACTTTTGTTTATATCTTCCGAATCTTTATCTTAAGTGTTATTGTTTAGTTTTTCTAGAAAGATTATTAGGCTTTCTGTTTGAGCTTTGGTGGCTCGTGATCAGGAGCTGCACTGGCAACCTGAAGGCATGCGGTTTCAAAGTACCAGCTGCTCCCGTGGGATTAACTGCTTCCCACTGAAAACCCACTGGGGGGTTCTGACTGAATTAAACTGTTATGTTTGTCAAATATTAAAATCTCAAATATACTAAGATACATTACTGGATTATGCATTCCATTCTGCTGTTCTGTTTGTTGATTTCGACAGCAGTACCATTAGGGAGCTCTGGTGGCATAGCCTGTAGAAAGGTGCATTGCCAACCCAAAGGTCCTCTCTGGTGGTGTGAATTCACTATTGACATTCTCCTCCCATGCAGTTTACAGCCTTGCAAACAGTTCTTACTTGACAGCAAGGACTTTGCCTTTTGATCTGGGCACTGTTTTGTTGGTGTTGTTTTTCAGTGCCGTCAAGTTAGCTTAGACTCAGAACAACGCAACAAAACTCTGAGCCGGCACCATCCTCACAGTCTCTGTTTTGCTTACGTTCATTGCTATAGTCACTGTGTCAGTTCATCTCTTTGTGGATCTTCCTCTTTTTTTTTTTTTTTTTTAAATTTTTTATGATCCTCAGTTTTGCAAACGTGAGATCCTTTTCTAAGGAATGGCCCCTTTGGACAACATTCCCAGAGAATCGGAGATGAAATTGCATGGTCTTGGCATCTAAGGATCACCCTTACAAGAAAGATTTTGTGTTTTTATTTGACATTGCAGAGATTGTTCAATATTATTTGCCAACACCACAATTCAGATACCTTAGTTCTTCTTACTCATCATCTTTCTTACTCATTGTCTGACTTTCACATGAACAAGAAATAATTGACAATACTATAGCTTGGGTCAGATGCACCTTAGTCTTTAAACTGACACCCTGGCTCTCTGGCACTTTAAAGAAGTCCTTGTAAACAAATATACCCATTGCAATATATCGTTCTTTTGATTTCTTTTTTTTTTTATTTTATTTTATTTCTTCTGCTCCTTTTTTATTGTCTACCATCGGATAGGATCTGACTGGCACAGCAGAGAATCTGGTGGATTCACACTGGGTGCCTTCGGGATTTCAGCACATCTTTTTAAAAAATTTTTTTTATTATTATTAATTTCAATGAAAATTTACATTTACTTTGGTTTTCCATTAATTCAAATTGCCACTTTCCCCCCCCACGCCCCCCCCCCCCAGTACACTCCCCTCTTGAAAAAGTAAAAGAAAAATTATTTCATTGTTTTACAGTCCCTCTCCCCAGGTCCACTCCACTATGCAGCCTTCACTGCAGGAAGCACTTGAGGAAGTGCCAAACTACCTTCCAGAGTTTTACAGGCCATAATCTTTACAATTGCTTGCTGTGCATCAGAGAGCTGGACAATGAGTAGGAATGATAGAGAATTGATGCCTTGTAACTGGAGTTCTGGAGAAGACTACTGAATATATTCCATGGACTTCTACGAGAATAAACAGGTTCCTCCTAGAGAATGTGAAGCCAGGCTACTCCTTAGAGGCAAGGATTCTGAGGCTCTGTCTGATATACTTTGGGCATGTTGTAAGGAGTGACCAGTCCTTGGAGAGGGATGTTATACTTGGAAGGGCGGATGCATGGAGAAAAGAAGGAGAGCATTGATGAGATGGATTGATAGGGTCACTGGGGTAATGAGGGTAGGTATGTCAGAGGCAGTAAAGCTGGCTCAGGATAGAGCAGGTTTCAGGGCTGTTATACATAGGGTCGCTGTGAATCACAAGCACTTGAAGGCACATAAGAACAACAACACTGCAGTGGTGAGTTTTGTTTTTTAAATTATATACCAAGTGTTAGGTTTTTGCCTTTCATTCACATATTGAGACAAATTTGATTTCGTACTGATTCTGTGAGGTTTACATATTATTGACCTTTTAAAATTATATGTAGACTGAGACTCAAAGAAGTTTAAAACCCTTGGTAGAGTCAAGATTAGTGTTTAGGACTGTGTGGTTCCCAAGTACTTCCGCTTTCCCCCATATCATTCTTTGGTTCTCTTAAGTCTATTCTATGCCTGGGTGATGTGTGGATGGACTATTCTATCATATATTTTGGCCTAAGTGTCAGATACTAAATCTGAGAAATGTGTACTGTTTTCATGAATATGATAGAAAGACCATAAATCCACTCAACCTTTAGGAAGCAACGTGGACCTCATTTCAGCAGGAGTGTGGGGATTGTCTTCCTTGGCAGATAGAAAGAACTATATTTTTCTGGCTTTAGTTGTGGGAGCCTGGACTTGGTTCTGTGTGTCTGAGTCTTTGTTGACAATGATTGAGGACACCACTGAACCTGACTTGTAGCAACTATTGAGTCCAGAGAATCTGGGAGTGGGAGGTGCCAGAGCCTCTAAGTTAGATAAAGGTGAGAGTCCAAAGTAAAGAGATGTAACACAGGGAATGGGTATAGACGAAAGTGCCTAGAGGCAAGTTGAGAATTGTAAAGATGGCATCACAAAGCCTCTCTGGATAGAGATAGCTTGTCTTTGAACCTCTATTAAATGTGCTTTACTAATCCCCTGTCTTAGATTAACTAGAAGCAGAGCCCAGTGATTTCTTGGGAACAGAGAAACTTATGAGGGAAGCAAGTTGATTTCAGCAGTTTCATCTCCACCTGCTCTTACTAGGGTTTCTTGAGCACCATTCTGGGCTGCAGAAGATGTTTAGCCCAGGCACGAGGGGATGAAAGGTAGAGTCTAACCTTTTAGGAATCTCAACCACTTCCCTAAAGGAAGGGTATTCATCCTGATTAACAATTGTAGGAGTGACTGGTAGGAGAATGGGATGGGTACTTGGGGCCAAGGCTACTGCTACACATTCAGAATTGAGGTTCTTCATTTGTTCAGCAAGTTGATGACAGTCTTTGCAGGTCTACAGTGGCAGCTTTTGGGAATTGCTACTGGGAGTGGCCTGACAGTCTGTGCAAACCACTAGATGGTCAGCTAAGGTTCAGTTCAAACTCATAGGCACACAACCACCTGCTGCATGAGAGCTACCTTTCTTTTATTTTTGTCCATGGAAATTGCTAAATGTAAAATGGTGTTGGTTGGCCCTGAAACCTTGCATGCAGATGGCTCATACCTTTCTGGAAACTCAGGCATTCTTAGAACACATTGACTGTGTGAGTTAATCAGGGAAGGTAAACTGCATACTGGCATTCCTGTTTTTTTCCTCATTAAACCAGTGTCACAGAGAATATTATTAACATTTTATTGGAGTGGACTAAATAGGTGAGACTGAAGAGATGAGTGAGAAAGAAATTTGTAGCATAAAATAAATTTGTCTATTCAGAAGCACCTTGCTGGGGTTAGTGTGCCAGCTTACAATGTATTCTGATTTCCTCTGATTTATTGAAGGTATTTTCCCCCTTAAAATATGGGGCTTTTTCTTGCCATGATGTTTATGCTTCCTGTTGAATGACAGTTGACTGTGGAGCCTTCTTTGTTCCTTTTTGCTAGGTGAAGGGGAAGAGGACACTGGGAGAAAATATTGCTGATAATGGAGGTCTGCGGGAAGCTTTTAGGGTATGTGCTGCTACATTGGCTCTGATTTTAAAAAATTAAACTATAAAACAGTGTATGAGTGTACCTCAGGTTACGCCACAGACATATTCTTGAGGAATTAGCTATTACAAAATTGCTATAAAGATAATTGTAGTTCCCCATTGATGGCTATTATATAGATAGAGCTGTATTTCTTTATTGGAGTATGAAAAAACTCTAAAGAATAATATTTATTATTAACAATTCTATCTTTAATGCCCATCTGTGAGCTCTAGTGGCCTTGTGGAAAGTAGCTGGACTGCAATCCTAAAGAGAAAGTGGTTTGAATCCACCAGCTGCTCTGAGGTAGAAGGCAGGGCATTCTCCTCCTGCGCCACATACTGCATCTGAAAACCTGGAAGACTCAGCCATGGGTCGGTCTCTACTTGGCAGCACGCAACAGCAACAGATACATTCATCATACTATCAAAACATGCTATAAGAGTTTCCTCTGAGCTAGGCTCATAGGAGTTTTTCTTGAGCAGAGTTTTCTCTAGCCCTCTTTTATAATTCATTCAATACCAAACTTCTAATATGACCACAGGTTAGTGACTCATATTCTGCTTAGAGAAAAGTTCTTAAGAATGTTTCCATCATCCACTAGTCCATCCACTATCCTGTGGCTAAACCACACATGGAAGGATAATATGGAAAGTTTTTAGTGAAATTTGGTACATTCATTATAAAGATCAGGCTGTTATTCTGAGATTATGTTCTCTCTGTAGTCTAGTTAAATAGACCTCATTTATGTATCTCAATAGTGACAGAAGATCGTTAAGTTTCTCTTTATTTGGCAAAATAAAAAAGAAAAGTAGTTTTTAAAAGTTAAAGTGGCTCTATGTTGACCCTAGAATTTATTGCCTTAGGCCTCACCACTGTATTATGGTTTTTGTCCCCTAGTAAGCATAGAAAGAATCGCTTCTGGTAAGAGTTACTTAACATCTGAACTCTTTCGTCTTCTTGCTTGGCGTTCAAAAGGGTGTAAGGTCCTTTTGTAGGTGAACCTGCCTAATAATTCAGCATTAGGATATTAACTTGCATTTTTAAATGCTTGACACAGTGCATTTTGCGTATGGTGGAAAATAGTGTCTTTGAAGCTTCTTTCGTTATCTTTGCAGTGCATGAGGGAAGAAGGGATAAGGCTCATTTCTGATGTCCATCTGTTCTTCTCTCACCAGGCTTACCGGAAATGGGTAAATGACCAAAGACAGGGTGTGGAGGAGCCTCTCCTCCCAGGTGTCATGTTCACCAACAACCAGCTTTTCTTCCTGAGTTATGCTCATGTGAGTAGATGGAGAACTGTATGGCTTTCACTTAATCCCTTAACCAAAGGTTTAGAAAAAAATTGGAGTGTCATAACATTCCTTTTTGCCACCATTTCATAGTGATGATTATTTTTAGGATACATTTTACCTTGTTACTATAGATCCATAATTACTGAATCCAGTTTTAGTGCCACTTTTTAGCACATGCGTTATCTGCCATATGATAATTAATTTGATATTTATTAACAATCATTCTTATTAATTCGTTTGATGCTACTTATAACCACAGTATCTTAGACTGATTGAGTTACCTAGTGAGGCAAATCTAGTAAAACTTTTATATGTTTAGAGATGTTGATTTGTCTCATAGAAACAGCTCAAAAAGCAGTTGTGATTGTTAGTTACTGCTGAGTCAGCTGTGACTCATAGCCACCCTGTGGACAGCAGATCTCAAGCATGCCCTGTCTTTTGTCGCCCTCACCATCTCAGTCATGCTTCAGCCCACAGTTAGAGTCACTGTGCCAGTCTATCTTCTTGAAGGTCTTCCTCTCTTTCTCTGCCCTTCTATCTTTCCCATGCATGTTTTTTTTTCCCCAGTGATAGACTCCTATTGGCAACATGCCTAAAGTTTAGGAGAGGAGATTTCACCATCCTTGCTTCTCAGCAGCACAAAGTTATAGGGGCTGATAAATCCCAAGGGTAAGACAGCAGGCTGGAGGTTTCTCCAGATTCTTGTAGCTGTGAGAGCCTCACAAATCCAAGATTGACAGGTACAACAGCATGCCACTAACTCAGCTCCAACTACCTGGAGGTCAGATGAGGATCGCAGTGGAAGATCTAAAGTGAGTAAGAAGCCGTCCTCATATTTTGGGGGAAATTCTTTTTCAGCTGATTTGCTTTTCATAGCATATCTCATCATGGAGGTGACTCCATTGTGTAAGCTCTCATCGAGGCAATGTTATTTTGTTCAAATCTCGTAAGGGAATGATCACATAGCCTATCCAGGGAGTGACAGCATCATAACTGCTAAACCAGAGACTCACAGGCAGCTAAGCTGATACATAGTCCTAATAATCATACCTGTCCTCTTGTGCCTCAGGAGCAAGATATGCCACGCTTTTAAAAACTTTGCAGATTTAACTGGAGCTCTGGTGGCCTAGTGGTAAGAAGCTGCACTGAAATCCCAGACAAAGGTGGTTTGAATCCACCAGATGTTCTGCCAGGGAAGGATGTGCCATCTCTTCCTGTACCAGTCCGATCCAATTTGATTGTACACACAGAGAGAAAAGAATGAATGAATGAATGAATAAATAGATAGATAGATAGATAGATAGATAGATAAATAAATATTTTTTTTAAAAAAAAATAGCCAAACAAAACTTTGCAGAGTTAAGCCTCCCCTTCCCTCATGTCTAGCCCAATGGCAAGGAGTTGTGCTACCAACCCAAAGGCACACGGTTTGCATCCACTATCTCTCTCTGGGAAAAACATGAGCAATCTTCTCTTGTGCATTTTTTTAGCTTCCGAAAACCCACTGGAGAGTCAGTCAGCTATGAGCAGATTACATCTCAATGGCACATACAACAATACAACATTATCCCATTCAATCATTTATTGGTTATACATTTAACTTTTCTACTTTGAGTTATTCCATACCACTGAATGTATATACCATTCATTATCTTCTTTTTTTATTCTATACCATTTAAATAACTGCTATTATTACATCACCAACCTGTTGAGAGAAGTCCAGTGACTACCACATCCAGGCTAAGTGCTTCCATCTGCCTTTCAAAATGCTCTTCATTCTCACCCACTCTGCTGACTAGTGTTAATTTTCCACAGTTCCGTACAATTCAGCTGCAAGTCTCCTCCCTGCTGTATTTCTGCTGTCTGGGTGACTTTGCGTGTCATTTTGCTCCTGTCATATGTTCTGCCATCCCTATGATCATACAATCTTGCCTCCATCTTCCTTCATGTCTTCTACAGACCCTTCTCTAACCACTTTAGTCCTTATATTTCCTATTTCTATACTTACCTTCATTAGCATGCAATTAAGTATTTACTCGTTCACAACGTTTTAAAGACCTTCAGTTTTATCCCCATGGGTGATCTTCTTGGTCTGCATACTTCCTTAGTATCTCTGTAGGGTTCAGGGGAAAAAAATTCCATGTTTGTTGAAGACGTTTGACATTTCTTCATACATTGCTCAAAAAGGATGAGACTAATGTTTCCCGTTAAAGAAAACATTCAAAATAGTCAGAATTTTCTAGATCAGGAATTTTCATTACTGTGGCTCATGGGCCAAGTAAGATCTTGTAAAAACGGCTGCCAGTTTTAAAATGATGCTTTCATGGAAAATAATCACAGACATTCATGTGTGTGTCTTTGTTCTCTGTGTTATCAAAGTTTCATAGTTGCCACAGAGCCCTGGTAGCCCTCAAAGCCCAAAATATTTCCTGTTTGTCCCTTTAAAGAATAACTTCACTAACTCCTGCTCTAGCAAAGTCCAAGGGTTTGTCAGTTCTCAGTTATATCCTAGTCCATGATATATCTCTTTGTAGATGAAAGAAAGTAATAGTAGTGATAGTGATGTTAATAGGAATAATTTTGAAGTATCTCCAAATAAAATACCAAATGATATCTGATTTATTTCAAACGGAGGAAACTGATATTTTATATCACTAATGAGAATTTTATCTTGGCGCTTTTCTCACTGACAAAATGAGGATTTTTAATCTTTTGCGCATTGAAATAAGTTTGCTTAAGGGAGTAAATTTATTTCTCCTCAGGAAAGATAGTACGAAAACAGTAACAACCATAATGTGCCTTCAGACATCTCTTCAATGGCACACGAAGCTATAGAAAGAAGCAATAAAAGAAGCAATAGAAAAAGGACTCCAAATAGCTTCACATTAGCTATTTTCATTTTTTTTATTTTTTTTAAAT